TGGGTTTATAAAATTTTTTCCTGAAATATATCTATCTAAGGGACTGTTTCATCTGTTTTTCCAAAGCACAGAGTGCCTCATCCTGTTTTTCATCATGAATTCCTTTCAGGGTGCACTGTAGGTCCCTGACTGCGGTGGCTAATGATTTGGTCATTATACTCCCACTGAGCAGTAGATTTTGTGTTATTTCAACATTTATCTGTTAGAAAATGTTTACTCTCTACTCCAAAAGACACTAAGTAAATAGAATTAACCCTTCATCTAATCCTTTCATGGGTACGTGTGTTGTGGGTGGAGGGGTGGGTATATTTACTCTATTGGTATTGTCTGAGAAGGTAGGCCACCAAAGGGATAAAATGCAGTATCAGTGTGTTCAGAAAAGAAAAAGATGTTTCCAGCTGCAGAAAAGAAGATGTTAAAATCAGAACATGGTTGTGTTTCCAAAGTTGGGCAGATGAGAAAAAATTCCAGAGGGACGTAAGGGCTGGAGCAAAGACCCAGAGGCTAGAAAGCAAGGGGTATATCCAGAGGAGGGTAAATAGATCAGTTTGACTGGAGTGAAAAATTAACAGCAGAATATGAGCCTGAATGCTGGATCATAGTGAAGGAACGATTAATTTTAGTTTGTTTTGGTTGTCATTGGGAAGAACTTGAAGGATTTTGAGGAAAGGATTTTTGTAGTTCACAAAAAAATGACTTAGATGAACTGGAGGAGCTGATTAGAAGAGTGAAAAGAAACTTCTAGAAACTATTGTTATCATTTAAGCAAGAGTCAAATCAGGTCTGAAAAGGGAAAGGGGGCATCACTGAGACCTAGTGACTAGTTGCAGAACAGAGCATAGAGAAAAGAAAACATGATTCCGAAATGGCTGTAAAAATAGTGAATCTTTGAATGAACTAGAGGAAACAGGAAATTCTGCAGTTTGACAAGCAGATTTGTTTTTCTTTTTTATTGAAGTGTAGTCAGTTTACACTGTTGTGCCAATTTCTACAGCATAACGTTTCAGTCATACAGATACATACATATATTCTTTTTTCGTGTTCTTCTTCATTGTAAGTTACTACAAGATATTGAATATAGTTCCCTGTGGTATACAGTAGAACTTGTTATTTATTTTATATATAGTCATTAATATCTGCAAATCTCAAGACCAGCAGATTATTGAACATAAAAAACTAAAGAGATTTTACTTAGGAATATTTTAGTTTCATTTGCAAAAACACAAATACTGAATAGGGTATTCCTTTTTTTTTTAGTTTGCAACATTCTGTGAGGTAAGAATAATTTCATTTTGAATGAGGAAACTGAAACTCTGGTTACATGGTTCAAAGTCACACAGCCAGTCAGCAACCGTGCTGAGATAAATACCCTGTTTCAAAAAATAAGTATAACATCCGTTGTTTTCTGAGACTTCTGGTGAGAAAGATAAGGAAATTGAGAGAGTAGTGCTTTAATGATTTTGCTGGTTTGCATGTTTGTTTTGATATAGAAGTAGGAGAACGTGATGCTAAATGAGAGTAGTTTCGTCGATTGATGACACCAGGTTTGGGAAGAGACCAATGAGAAATGGAACCAAAGTACAAGCTAACTTAGGGAAGGAGAGAAACTATTTTTCCTTTAAGACAGGGGGTTGGAAATCAGACAGATGGAGTCATGGGGGTATGAGCCAAGAGACTGGGGTGCTTTGGAGATGAATGGAAAAATGTAAAATGCTTATGGAGTAATGAACTGAACATAGAGATTTCTAAGAAAAATTAGAAAACCAGATGAGAATAAATACTATTATTATATAGTGATATCAACCAATCAATTTCCATGACTTATTAAAACAATGATTAAAATCCAGGAGGCCCTATTTACTCAATGAGTATCCCATCAGTCAGGTAGTGTTTTGTTACCTATATATTAAAACTGGTATATCCAGGTCAAACTTAGTTTTACTTTGTAGAGTAGTGGATTGTTTTCAGATGGCGAGTTAAAGCTGTCATTTCTCTGCAGCTTCTGTAAGAAGCTCTCTGCTTACAGCCTGTCAGCTCTGAAGCTTACCAGATGGAAGTGTTTTCCAAAGTGACCTCTCTGAATGAGCCAAGCATGTCTTACTTCTCTTTGTTAACAATATAACAGTAGAATAAGTAGACAAACAATGACCAATTTAAACACCTAAATGAACTATATTTTCCATAAAACGTGAGCTTTATTCATCACAACGTAGTAATTACATATACTGAACTGCTCAAGAACAAAGTATGGGCTAGAAGACTGACTGAATTATAAATCACAGAAAGGATAAATCATCTGAAGTTATGGTGGCCAGGGGAGGTT